GACCATCATTGGGAAGCCCAGTCATAACCAATGGAAAGAGAGTGATGTCTGCTGGGGCCTGAGAAAGGGATAGAAGTCCTAATACCAACTAAATTCCCATAAACAGAAATGGAGAAGAGGAACTATAAGGTGAAACTCCTGATAGTGGTGAAACCAAATGCTGTTACCTCCTGCCTAATGAACCCATGTGAGCAGCACTTATTGTGCACCTTCAACAGGTAGGGCTTGAACAACACACTACAGGCAACAACACAGGTAAAATGGACATGTCTCCATCTTCAGGAGAAAGGCATTTGCATTATCAGATATCTATACTTCATACTACTCCTCCATGTTTGGAACATGGCAAAGAATTACAGAGCCAGATCCAATCCATTTTCTCTCCTCTTGGTTAATTTAAGATCACAAAACTAGAGAAAGGCAGGATCAGTTTTTCTGAAAACCAACATTGTTCTATAAGTAGATAATTTTGAGGAAGGAGTACAGGAGACCTGTTGGGAATAAACCTGGAGAAATTCATTTACTGTGCGATTGGTTCAAGTATGGGATTTTTAAAAATCTACTTTTTCACTTCCTTGACTCCCCTTTCTCTTCAACAAAATAAACAGAGCTCAAAAATGCAGTTCAATTTGATTCTTGGTTCTAATAAAGTTCATTTCCACCTAAATTTCTCCAGAGATACTTTCACTTTCACACAATCAAAAAGCCCAAGGGTGATAACTTTGAAAAGAAAAGCCCTTTTGGATGAAAACCACACAGAGCATAGCTAAACAGTAAAAGAAAAGGACACACACACACACACACACACACAGCTGTCCCTAAAAAGAAAATAAATTTAGGGAAGCCTTCTTCAACTCCTATGGTACCCAATTTAGAGGGAGTTTATAGCCAACCGGAAGATACATCAGCAAGCAATAAGACATACCAGTAAGCAATCAGAAACATCAGTGTGCAATAAGACACCAGGGTAAGCAGTAAAGACACACCAGGGAGAACGTTTCTGAGCAATTACCACATGTCTTAATACAGGGAGAGAGAAAGAAACTTCACTCAACGAGGACTGCAACCCTGTAACAATGAACTCTCTCACTGCTCAGAGTCATTTCTGCCATGTCAAGAATGGTCTAAGTATCACCAGCATGGCCATGAGCAAGAGAGGGCAGAAAGGCTGCTCATGAATAAATATGAATGAGGACTAAAAACTTAAGCCCTCATCAGCCCTCTTTTTGGTACCCGTCCCTGGGAAATGCAAATGGTTTATGCTCTCAGCTGCTAACCTAAAAGGCTGATGGCTGGAGTTTGCCCAGAGGTACCTCAGAAGAAAGGCTTGGTGATCTAAAAAATCAGGCCCTGAAAACCCTATGGACCAGAGTTCTACCTTGATACACAAGGAGTAGCCACAAATCAACATCAACTCAATAGCAACTAGTTTTATTTGGTTTACAGAGCCTAATCTACAGACATAGCGAATATTTTTTAAATATATGCTGGGTAGCTGACTAGATATAAAGGATCCCTCATATTCTGGGGGATATAATGGAAGATGTCCAACACATCAATTTCCACTGTGGCCAATCTAGAGTCTAAGAAAGGGGTGTATATGTGCATATGCACAGAGAAGAGACAAACTTTCATACTAAAGTTCAGGTCAACCAAGGAACAGGATACTTAGACACAGAGAACTTCCTTATGAGATTGTTTATCAAAAACTCCAGGAAACTGTCATGTTATTCTTCTCAGGAATCTTTAAGAAAATGTTACCATACTTTTCCAGACTCATCCATTTGGAATAATTTACAAATGGAAACAACAGGAATAGATTAAAAAAAAAAAAAAAAAAAATCACAATCTCTGTTACATAGCACTAAGAGATCTTAAGCTGAGCTACACAGAATTCCAGTACCAATGGTTTCTCTGTACAAGTACTTCAACTCCAAAGAACCAGTGAAACCACTTATTTCTCAGAGATGCTGAGACAACTAGGTAACACTGTGTACCTCAGAGGGCTGGGAACAATACATGGTGTTTACATACATGGTATTTACAAGATGGTTGTTAAATATTAGTTTTCTCTCTTCTTTCCCACTTTTACCTGGATCACAATCAATTTCTCATCTGCAACTCTTCGTAAGTCCCTCTGCTGCAATTCCTCCCACTTTCAAAGTCCAGTTGCTACAGGAAGCTTTCTATAGTCACCCCCGGCCCACAAAGACCACACTTCATGTTATTTTATGCAAATGCTCTATTTTCCTGACTGGCTACTAAAAATCTGCCATAGTGCCTAAGGCATCTGACTGCTAACCAGAAGGCTGGTGGTTCAAACCCACCAGCCACTCCTCGGAAGGAAGGTTGGGCAATCTACATCTATGGTGACACCGCATCAGAAACCCAGGGAGGGTCACTATGAGTCGGATCCGACTCGATGGCAGTGAGTTTGTTTTTTTTAGTTTTATATCCCACATACACATGGAAGATGCCAAGGAGTGGGAATGAGGTTAATTATTAAAGGCGTAACTTTAAATGTGCTCCCATTTCCCAAAGAGAAAGGAAAAACATAACTCAAAACAAAATGCTATGGTTCTTTAAATATTATTAAAAAGGTAGCACTAGTGGCATGTTGACTGGAGTCAGTGGTATAATTCTCACCCTCCCTGCAGGAGATCCAGCAGGATATCTGGCAAAAATGCACCTTTTGTGCAGTTACCACCTGTCTGTTTCTAGAGGCCTGCATGTTGCTATGATGCTGAACAAGTTTCACTATTGCATCTAGACAAAGACTAGAAAGAAAGGCCTGGTGATCTATTTCCAAAAATCAGCCAAAGAAAATCCTATGGATTACAACGGTCTGACCCCAGTGTGCATGGGGTCATCAAGAATTGGGGGCCAAGTAGATGGCAGCTACTGACAACAACAACAGTGGCACATCTAACGGAGCTCCACTCAGAGCCAATGACCTAGAGAATGTGCTCAGAGATATTTGTCAACTGAGTAAATTGGCTCAATGCAGAAGCTGGGTCATGATCTCATTTCAAAGAAGCAGCCACCACCAACTCCCTCCCGCTTCATTCCTGGAAATTTACCAACAGCCCTTTTCTCTGAGACTTGGAGCCCAGGTGGGGAAACCACTACTGAGCCAGAAGGTACCAAAAACTCCCTATCAGATGAGAAAGACAAGAAAAACATTTACATGTGCCCTTAAAATACAGGATAGGCAACTGAGAAGTGCAAACGGTTAAGTGCTCTACTATTAACCAAAAGGCTGGTGGTTCAAATCCACCCAGAAACACCCCAGAAGACAAAACTAGCAATCTACTACTGAAAGGTCATGGACTTGAAAACCCTATGAAGCAGCTCTACTCTGCACACACAGGGTCACCATGAGTTGGAATCAACTCAACAGCAACTAACAACAACAAAGTTAAAGGCAAAACACACCACTGCACCTCGGGAAATAGGATCATACAGAACTGCAATGAAATCAGATGGGACCTTTCCAATTACATTTTCTACTGAAGATGGAGGAGGGAAAATAGAGACTGAAGAGGCATGGGTTCCATTTATTAATAAGCAACTCAACACAGTGGGAGGCTTTCTTGTCTAATTACAGAAGCTGCTGGAAACTGCAGGGAAGACAGGATTTATGGCCTTGATGACACTGCCTCTGTGTTGTAATTAAAAGTTATTTTTAATACTTTTGTTTGGTTGGATACTTCAAATTATTCAAAATATATTTTGCAATTTCAAACTTGCTTAAGGGCAAAGAACATCACCAAAAGGTAATACAACAAGCTTGTATAACAATTAAATGTTTTGACACTGGGAGGTGGGAAAGGAAAAGAATCTCTCCCACTTAAATCTGTGTATTTTTATAAGAAAGAAGGAAAGAGAAACAAACATGCTAAGAAGTATACTCGACTAGATTTTTCAAATTCCTAAAGTAACTCATCTACTTACTTTATCCATTCACTAGAGTTTGACTACTATTCGCAGCTCATCCCCAACTATTCACCCAAAACACCTAATCTTCGGGCTCTATGCTTTCTCCCGTGTCCACAGGAAATGACAGTGGCCGCCCTAACGAGAGCTAGGCCTGACTCACCCACAAAGATGTAGGGGCTGACCACAAGACAGTGCAATGGGGATCCCATGTGAGCTGTAGATGATAGTCTGGGGTTTGTTTTTTGTCCATCTCCACTCCCTCATCCAAGATTCTGATTTCAAGAAGGAATGGATAAAAATTTCCCATAAAGAGAATTGTGTGGGTTGTCCATAAGTAGTTTTGGATTCTGGACAAGTTTAGACAGGTTCCATTTATTTCTGCAGTGCCATTCCCAGAATTTCTCTCTATATATACACATACAGAAGTCACCACGTGGTACAAATGGTTAATGTGCTCAGCTGTTAACCCAAAGGTTGAAGGTTCAAGTCCACCCAGAAACATCTTGGAAGAAAGGCCTGGTGATCTACTTTCTAAAAACCAGCCACTAAAAACTCTATGGAATATAGTTCTGCTCTAACACACATGGGGTTCACCATGAGTTGGAGCCAATTCATGGCAACCTGTACTGGTATAAACACAATGGAGGTATTTTCTGCAAGGGTGGCTCTACTTTAACAACAGGGAGGAGACAATCTATTAAATATCACAGACTTCTGAAATTGTTTGACAGGTGTGCAAGGAAGAAGGAACTCTAACTGGATGAGCTTCTCAGATAACTTCTGTGTTTCATTTATTTATGCCATGAATCTTCTCTTTAGAAGTGAATTCCAGGAGCTCATTATATGCACATGTGTCATAGAAACCACTGGATGTTACACATCATGATGAGACTATAAAAACTTTTTAACATCTGTTATTCAAAAATGAATTTAAACTTAGCTTTACATGGCTGTACCAAGCTTATGGAATTTATTTTATACCAGTAAGAACCACTGGGTTCCTTTATTTTTTTTGAAGCAGAGTTTGACTCCATGACAGGACACAGAATGGCCATTCTTACCTGCCACATTAATTTTCTCAAGTCCACCCAAGCTGGGAACAGCTGTGGTAGAGTTGGTCAAGTTTGTTCCTGTGCCATTGATGACGAGATTGTCCACCTTCGACTCTAACTTGCCAATGCGCTGCAAAATATTATCCAATAACACAGCAAGAGTCTTCTTCAGATCTGTAAAAGAAATTGCAAATAATTTAAAAATTTGTCAGTTCCCATATGTCTGTATGGATTTCTCTCTCTCTCTTTAACATGGAGAATAAAATGTATCTAATGCTTTTGACATTTTAAAGACATTTTGGAGCTCTGGTGGCCTCTGCTAACCAGAAGGCTGGTGGTTCAAACCCACCAGCCACTCCACAGAAGGAAGACTCGGCAATCTGTTTCTATAAAGATTTACCACCTCGGAAACCCAAAGGGGGTCACTATGAGTTGGAATCAACTTGATGTCAGTGAGTATGCGTTTTGGTTTTAATGCTTCTGAAATGGCACAGATAAAAAGTACTGCTTTAAGGACCTGTCCTAACCGATCACATTTGAAAGATGACAAGGGTCATCTCTAAGGGGCTACACACACACACACACACACAACATTGCATCGAGTCAATTCTGAAATACAGTGACCCCTACAGGACAGAGTAGAGCTAACACACAGGACTTCCAGGGCTGTAATCTCGGAAGGAAGATGGGACAATCTACTTCCATAGTGATACTGCCTCGGAAACTCAAGGAGGGGTTGCTATGAGTAGGGGCCAACTCGACGGCACATAACAATAACAACAATCTTTACAGAAGCAAGCCACCACATCTTTCTCCCACAGAGTTAGAACCAGTAACCTTTCAGTTAGCAGTCAAGTGCTTAACCACTGTGTCACCATGACTCCTTTTAAGGGTCCCAAGTCTTACTAAACAAATTGATCTCTTCTGGAATGCAACTTTGGAAATGAGTTGTACTATAAAACTATTTCCAGCTATTAGCTTGAAAGAAAAAAACTTTGATACTTAGCATCCCACCATGTTGTTGTTAGCTACAGTCAAGTTGGCTCTTGGCTTATGGCAACCCCAGGCACAAAGCAACTGGGCCATTGTGATCCACAGGGTTTTATTGGTTGATATTTGGAAATTTATAGCCAGTTCTTTCTTTTTAGTCCATCTTAGTCTGGAAGCTCCACTGAAACCTGTTCAGTATCACAGCAACATGCAAGCCTTCACTGACAAAACAGGTGGTGGATGGATATGAGGTGCACTGGCCAGAAATCGAACCCAGATCTACTGCATAAAAGGTGAGAATTCTACCAGTGACCCACCACCATAGTACTCTATTAAAATTCTTTTCCCTTGTATCATGGTGATTCCTGATGCATCAAATGACATCTCCAAAGTGCAGCAATATCCTGAAGTAGCTTTTTGGACAAAGTTCATTGTTAATTTTAGCATTGTGTACCCTAGCATGTCCCAATTTTTTGAAAAGTGGTTATTTATGTTGGTTACATATGGTAGCACTTAATAAAAGTTACAGTTCCAGACTTCCAGGCATGCTGAATAACTCAGATTTAACTATAATTACATTTAGAAAAGAAACTTAAAATATAGACTAGGTTCATTTGTTTGTTCAACAAATATTTACCGAACAACTACTACGTGCCAGGCAATCGGGTACATTGTTCTAGATGCTGAGGATATTCTCTTATGGTGCTTGCATGTAAGAGTTGATTCCCTTTCTTACACATCTGATTCTGGGTTAAAGAGTAGTACAGTTTTCTCACGGATAAATCACAGGAAAATTGTCCTCACCCACACACAGGCTGTTACTAAATTTGTATATAAGGTATTCTACAAAGAGTTGAATGCAGTCTCTCTCCTCTGAAAACTTATAGCTGACTTGTACATGTTGGAAAGACAGATGGACAACAGAATAGCCATCTATGGGAACATACTCCAGACTCATTTCTGAATTGGGAGTGGGCCAGATGGAGAAGTAGATAATGTAAGCAGCAGCCATCTTCCATTGTGCTGGCAACAGAGGCAGACCTGCTTGAGAAAGGGCTCTAATCTGTACGGGAAATAAAGACACACCTGGTCAACTCACACACCCCATGCCACTGTCAGTGAGCCTCACAAAGCTGCATTCAGGCTGTCCTATTTGGCCAAGTGAAAGGAGAGACTCATTAGAATAGAAATATAGACAAGTAATTAGCATGGAAGTCATGTTATTAGTGGATTACTGAAGACACCACTTCCGCTGACTAAAAACACCAAACAGAAACAAAACCCACATCCTGTAAGCCCATGTTCTGTGTGTTTGACACAAACCCACCCAAACATCTGACTTCTCAACAATGCTAAGAACTACATCAATTTGTTCATTCATTCATTCACAAATACCTAACCAGAACTATTTCTGTTCTTCATTGTATAGCTTCCCATTTGCAGTACCACACACTGGCCACAGAACTAGGGCAATGGTGTTAAAAACTGAATGATGGAAGCAAAGGCAGAAGGAAGTAGTGTTTACTGAATGCCTACTCTATGCCGTGCACACATAAAAGCAATGTCACTTTTTTTGGAGGAGGGTACATTTCATTGTGGTTTGGGTGAAAGTTTATAGAGTTTCCTAATAGACATTCATACACATTTTGTTTCATGACATTAATTGCAACCTCCTCAAAGTGACAGCACTCTTCCCACTTCCTTCCTGGGTTCCCCGTTTCCATTTGCCTATCTTTCTTGTTCCTTCCTACCTTCTGAACCGTGTTTTTGGGCAAATGTTACCCTTTTGGTCTCAGACAGTTGATTGTTTAGAGAGTACTTTCCTTACAGGTGCTACTGTTTCACTGTGTCTACTGTTTCGCTTAAAGGTGATCTCAGGAGTGGGTTCAGTTCCAGGTTTAAAGAGTGTCTAAGGGCCATAGTCTCAGGGTTCCACCAGAGTCTCTCAGATCAATAAATCTGGGGTTGTTTGTTTTTGAGATTTAGAATTTTGTTCCACAGTTTTCTCTCACTTTGTCCGGGACCTTCTATTGTGATCACAATCACAGGAGTTGTATTGGTAGCCAGGTCCATCTAGTTCTGGTCTCAAGCTAGTGGAGGCTGTGGTTCATGTGGTCCATTAGCCCTTTAGACTGTTTTGAGTCTTTTATTTTCTTCACTCTTTTTTGCTCTGGATGGGAACAGACCAATAGCTGTACCTTAGATAGCCACTCACAAGTTTTAAGACCCTAGTCACTATTCACCAAAGGAGGATGTAAAACATTGTCTTTATGGACTGTTATGAACATTCCTATTTTATCTTCACATCCTCCCTGTGAGATAGGTACAACTCCATATTATGGATGAGAAAACTGAGGTTCATAGAGATTAAGTAACATTCTCCTGGTTACAAAGATAAATCAGAATGAGGACTTGAACTCAAGTTTGCTTAATTCCCTGATGCCTGACTTGAAAGAGCCAGAACTCAAGAGCCCAGACAGGAAAAAGAAACCTCAAGAGTGAAGTTCAGTGTCTTTCATAGCATGATGTTGTTAGCTGCTGTGCAGTTGGTTAACAACTCATGGTGACCTCATGTACAACAGAACAAAATACTGTCTTGCACCATCCCCATGATTGGTTGCAGATCAGACCACTGTGATCCATAGGGTTTTTACTGGCTGATTGTTAGAAGTAGACATTTTAGTCTAGAAGCTAAGTCTAGTCCATCTGAGTCTAGAAGCTCTGAATCACAGCAACATGCAAGCCTCCACTGACAGATGAGTGGTGGCTGTGCTGAAGCACACTGGCCAAAATCAAGCCCAGATCTCTGGCACACAAGATGAGCATCCTAACAGTGAACCACCACTGCCCCCATATTTCATCCATCGCATAGTGACTAAAGGCTCAGACTTTGGAGAAGACTTCCTAGGTATTTAGAGTTTCCTCATTTCTGTGTCCTTGTCTATAAAACAGTGATAAGGATGTGCCTACCTCTTTGGGGTTATTATTGTGACTTAATTATTTAATTTATAAAACATTTAGAACAGTGCCTGGCACATAATAAGTGCCTGGCACTAAATTACTGATTTAATTGATTTTTTTTTTTTTTTTTTAATTTAAAAAGGTAACAAACTTTCCTCTAGAAAATGTTCTCACTCTTCCTAAAGAAATCTCTTCTTGCGTGATGCAAAGCTTTTTCTTTCTTTCTTTCCTTTTTTTATTAAAGTTTTTATTTTTGCAGTGTTTCCTCCCCTCCCCTTCTACCTCTCCTAAACAACAAAGAAAGTTTCCTTCCATATGTAAACCTTTCCTTGACTTTTTACAATAATGAACTAATATAATATTTGTCCTTCTGTGACTGACTTATTTCACTCAGCATAATGTCCTCCAAGTTCATCGATGTTACACAGTGTTTTGCAGATTCTACATTATTCTTTAGTGTTGCACAGTATTCCATTGTGTGCGTGTACCATAGTTTGGTTATCCATTCTTCTGTTGATGAACACCAAGGTTGTTTCCATTTTTTTCCTACTGTACATAGTGCTATGATGAACAGGGGGGCATATATATCTGTTCTTGTCCTGGCTCTCACTTCTTTGGTGGTAAAGTGTTTAAGGCATTTATTTGACTGTTAACCAGAAGACTGATGATTCAAACTCATCAGCCACTACTCAGATGGGCAATCTACTTCCATAGACATACCATCTCAGAAACCCCAGAAGGGGTTGCTATGAGTTGGAATGGACCCAATGGCAGTGAGTTTTTTTTTTTTTTTTTTTTTTAAATGGGATTGTTGGATCAAATGGTATTTCTAATTCCAACTTTTGAAGGAATTGCCATACTGCTTTCCACAATGGTTTTACCATTTTACGGTCCCACCAGCAGTGTATGAGAGTCCCAATCTCTCCACAACCTTGCCAGCATTTGTTATTTTCTGTCTTGTTTAACTTTGCTATTAGTGCTGGAGCAAGATGGTATCTCATTGTTTTAATTTGCATCTCTGTAATGGTTAATGACTATGAACATTTCTTCATGTGTTTGTTGGCCGCCTGAATATAGTCTTTGGTAAAATGTCTATTCATGTCTTCTCACCCATTTTTTAATTAGATGGTTTGTCTTTTTGGTGTTGAGGTGTTGGAGTTTTCAGTAAACTTTAGAGATGGGTCCCTTGTCAGATATGTCATTGCCAAATATTTTTTCCCAAT